ATCTAAAATATATTTAGTTGGATTAGGCTAAAATAAATTGCGCTTGTTATAATAAGGTTAGGTAAGTTTTCTAAGATTCTTTTGTTGCAAAATTATAAATTTTTACATTAACATTAATGAAAAAATATATCTTTAAACGTATAAGAGAAAATTTTAGAAAGGACTTAATTTTAAATGAGTTCTTGCTAATTGACCAGTTTTACCTATTAGGCACGACATATATATATATATATATATATATATATATATATATATATATATATATATATATATATATATATATATATATATATATATATATATATATATATATATAGCTAGCATGAGGGTGTTAAAAACTTGGCTGGAAGTGGTTTTGCTGAGGCGAGGTGGATGACGTGTGCACTTTCTCCTGCCCTCAAACCTCACACTCTTATCACATGCCCTCACATCAATTATAATATATATATATATATATATATATATATATATATATATATATATATATATATATATATATATATATATATATATATAATCGCCGTCACCGACACTATAGAACGCAACACTGGAAACTACAAAATTTCAAAAACATTGGCATACATGATACTTAAGCACCACCAACCCAACAACACAGGAGTCACATGATTTCAACGTCTACCCGTCTTCATCATAGGCAGAGGTTGTTTTGATAAGGACCTGCCTCGCATGGGCCAGTAGGCCTTCTACAGTGTTCCTCCATTCTTATGTTCTTATGACATTCCTCAGGTCACGTGCGTCACACCTCACTCTCCGCCTATATATATAATGCCTTTCTACCTCTGTATGTTAGAAGTGATCAAGGTCCCAGGACCGAAACGTTTTCTAATAAATATGTCATAGTGTTTGCTTACGTGTCTTTCTAAACCAACTTGTCGGTATTTATATATATATATATATATATATATATATATATATATATATATATATATATATATATATAATATATATATATATATATATATATATATTTTTTTTTTTTTTTATTATCACACCGGCCGATTCCCACCAAGGCAGGGTGGCCCGAAAAAGAAAAACTTTCACCATCATTCACTCCATCACTGTCTTGCCAGAAGGGTGCTTTACACTACAGTTTTTAAACTGCAACATTAACACCCCTCCTTCAGAGTGCAGGCACTGTACTTCCCATCTCCAGGACTCAAGTCCGGCCTGCCGGTTTCCCTGAATCCCTTCATAAATGTTACTTTGCTCACACTCCAACAGCACGTCAAGTATTAAAAACCATTTGTCTCCATTCACTCCTATCAAACACGCTCACGCATGCCTGCTGGAAGTCTAAGCCCCTCGCACACAAAACCTCCTTTACCCCCTCCCTCCAACCCTTCCTAGGCCGACCCCTACCCCGCCTTCCTTCCACTACAGACTGATACACTCTTGAAGTTATTCTGTTTCGCTCCATTCTCTCTACATGTCCGAACCACCTCAACAACCCTTCCTCAGCCCTCTGGACAACAGTTTTGGTAATCCCGCACCTCCTCCTAACTTCCAAACTACGAATTCTCTGCATTATATTCACACCACACATTGCCCTCAGACATGACATCTCCACTGCCTCCAGCCTTCTCCTCGCTGCAACATTCATCACCCACGCTTCACACCCATATAAGAGCGTTGGTAAAACTATACTCTCATACATTCCCCTCTTTGCCTCCAAGGACAAAGTTCTTTGTCTCCACAGACTCCTAAGTGCACCACTCACTCTTTTTCCCTCATCAATTCTATGATTCACCTCATCTTTCATAGACCCATCCGCTGACACGTCCACTCCCAAATATCTGAATACGTTCACCTCCTCCATACTCTCTCCCTCCAATCTGATATTCAATCTTTCATCACCTAATCTTTTTGTTATCCTCATAACCTTACTCTTTCCTGTATTCACCTTTAATTTTCTTCTTTTGCACACCCTACCAAATTCATCCACCAATCTCTGCAACTTCTCTTCAGAATCTCCCAAGAGCACAGTGTCATCAGTGTCATATATATATATATATAAAAGGCACGTTGTTTATATTTTACTTTACTATGGGATCCACTTCAGCAGAACCTGACTGAAAAAAAAAATGTAAGATCTTGGTATATTCACCAGTAAAACTTTGTGATGTTCAGAACTGCCCACCATATAATACATCTTGCATATATTGGCCGCCTCACTCAAGTCACACGATGTAACTATATCAAAGGTTCATTAATACTTATAATTTGGCGAATAAGACTCATGTACGATACCTGGGTATCTTCTTCTCAGAGGCGTTTCGCCCACCAGGGGTGTTATCAGTCAAATCATTAGAGCGATATACCTTTTCCCATTCCTGATGGACGAAACATCTCAGAAACGAAGATTCCCGGGTGTTGTGCATGTGTCTTATTCAATGTCATGTAAGTCAGGTATATGAAGTAAGTCAGATGCATTAACCAGGTCAGGTACATGAAGGTGAAACAACTTTAAGACGAAGGTATATATACACTCACTCAAGTTTACTCTGGTCGCACGAGAAGTTGCAATGGTTGAAACAACGATTTTGGTTGACAATGTTGACAACGTCCTTCATACCTGAAGGATGCTGCCAACGATTTCCCTCGTTAAAAGAGGACACAATTTCGTATTAAAACGGAACGAAACCTGCTTGAGAGTTGTGTTCTAAGTAGCCTTAGTGTCGAAATGTTTCGCTCTACTTCAAGCCGTCTTCAGTCGAATATAACACTGGAGACAGTGCTGTTCTAAATTACAAGGTTTAAATAATAGGATATTACGAGGACCCCAATGGAAATAAGTCACTTTGACTTTTTTTTTAGTTATCCTACGTAATTTACATTACCCATGATAATTCTACCTATGTATACCTGTGCCTAAATAAACTTACACATTGTGTTACTCATCAAACATGGTCCATACTGCATATCGTTTAAAACATAATATTAATAATAATAATAATAATATTGGTCCAGGATCGACCGTAACGTCGCCTAACATTTCTTCTCCAAGGTGTGGATTATTTGTGATGCTGGGAAGGATGATGTCAGATTCATCCGGGGATGATGTGCTGGTTGAAGAATGGGAGAGAGGAGGAATGTCACTGTCATCATCTGTGGCCATTGGGTGGGTGGGAGGGGGAGTAATTTTTGTACAGCGGTCGGGTATAATTTCGCAGTCCTGAGCCTCCATTATATTATCCCAGATTTAGTCACTGCCAAATTATTGGAAGCTCAGTCATTGCCAAATTTTAATAATAATAATAACTTTATTGGAAGCTCAGTCATTGCGAAATTATTATAAGTTCAGTCACTGTCAGATTATTCTAAGTTCAGTCACTGTCAGACTATTTTAAATTGAGTCACAGCCACATGTGGGTGATGTCAGTGTGAACCTGGACTAGTTTCACCCCTGACATCTGGTGTGCACTGATACCGACCTTTATAGATTCTATTGTCTCATTGTAAAAGTTCGAGCATAAAGTTAACCTTTAATAATAATAATAATGACATGTTTTTTTAACTGACATTTTTACTCGTAGTAAAAAACGCAAGTTACCGCCTGAAAATATTTTGTCTTATCGTTTTCTATGGAGTTAATAATAATAATAATAATAATAATAATAATAATAATTGCAGTGGATGCACTCAGTCATCTCAGTAGACATTGTTTCATTTAGTGGATGCACTCAACCGTTAAGTGGATGTACTGGTTGTCTTCTTAAACAGCGTTGTTCTGTTATGTATCATTATATTGTTTCATTATAATGTTTGTGGTATTTTAGTCACCTCTTACGACACCCATGGCTTACAGAGGAAGAATTTTGTTCCACTTGGACATGGAGATAAGAGGAGATAAAGAAGAACAAGAACTATTAAGAAAATAGAAGAAAACCCAGATGAGTGTGTAAATATATATGCATGCACATGTATGTTTAGTGTGGCGTAAGTATAAGTACAAGTAGTATGATACACCTGTTGACCAGCGTGTTTTATGAGACAGAAAAATGACACCATCAACCCTACCATCATGTAAAATAATTACAGGTTTCCGTTTCACACTCAGCTGGACGGTAGTACCTCCCTGGGTGGTTGCTGTCTACCAACCTACTACCTACGATATATATATATATATATATATATATATATATATATATATATATATATATATATATATATATATATATATATATATATATATATTATTGTAATCATGGACGAATGGTATTTAATCAATAACAACGCTGTGACTAGCCGAGGACTCGGGGCCCATGTCGTTTTGTCCCGCCTCACGGTGAGCAAAAATCACTTGACGCTTTAACCCACAGGATCACCAAATCCTACAAGAATCACACACCCAGCAGAGCTAGGTGTTTTACCGTGATCCGAGGACATACGGTGGTGTGGGTGCCTCAAAGCTAATTTCACTCTACTATTCGTTTGGTGTACTAGTATATATATTACTGTAACCATGAACAAGTGATATTTAATGAATAACAACACTGCGACTAGCCGAGGACTCGAACCTATGTCATTTCGGAATAATATATATACTGCTCGTGGAGGCTAGTACACCAAACGGGGAGTAAAATGAAATTAGCTCCGAGGCACCCACACCACAATATGTCATCGGATCACGGTAAAGCATCTAGCTCTGCTGGGTGTGTGATTCTTGTAGGATTTGGTGGTCATGTGGGTTAGAGCGTCATGTGATTTCTGTTCACCATGAGGCGGGCCAAAACGACATGGGTTCGAGTCCTCGGCTAGTCGCAGTGTTGTTATACATATATGAATATTTCCTGTACTTCATTTGTCTCAAAGTTCTAGAGAAGCCTAATAAGCCAACCAGTAAATTTGATTGTTATATTCACTTTACATGGTTAACTGTTGTATTTCATCGTTTATGCGACTCTTGCAGTTTCATACATTTATCTTTAGAAATCTTACCTTTATAGGCTAATTTTCATTACTTTATTCTTTTTGTACAGAGTTCCCGCGAAGTGCATATGAGAGCCCTGAGTGACCTACAGGCAGCAACCTCGCGCCTTCCTCATCCAGGTGAGTTATCCCCTTAAACTATGTATTGTTCATCCAGGTGAGTTATCCCCTTAAACTAATTATTCCTTCACACATAGGAAGCGAGAATTATTATTATTATTATTATTATTATTATTATTATTATTATTATTATTATTATTATAAAAACTAAGCGCCAAATCCTTACAAACGAGAAAGGTGCATGAAAAGGAAGAATAAAGGGAGATGAAGTGGATGGAAAAATAATGATTGAAAGCCGTATGGAAGGAGAAGGAAGAGCGAGACAGAATATACAGAAGGGTGAAGGAAGAAGAGTAACGAGTGGAAGAGAGAGACAGAGAATATATTAAAGAGGAGGGAGGGAGAAAGGTGTGGAAGGAAGACGTGGAGACAGAATGAATGGAAGAAGGAGTGAAGGGAGAATTAAAGGGGTAGTGTCAGCGTGGGGTCGTCCCTCGTGTTTACATGTAGTCAGCGCCCGTCATGGTGACGTCAGAATCCGGCTGAAGACGCTGCTGTATTGGCCTTATGTCTGAGTCTTGCCTTCATTGATTTTTTAATAGATTTTAACACTGACGGGTGTGAACATAGATACAATATTTGTAAATAATTTCGCCGAGTTTGCAGGTTCAGTCCTGCTGGGGACTGAGAGGTATATAGCAAGATATACCTGCAACTGAGTTATGTACGATATTTGTGTTGTCAGCCATGTTGCCTCCAGTGATATAGCGTGACGTCAGAGTCGGCGGTCATGTTGCATTTAGTGATAGCATGACGTCAGAGTCGGTGGTCATATTGCCTCCAGTGATAGCATGACGTCACAGTCGGAGGCCATGTTGCCTCCAGTGATATAGCGTGACGTCAGAGTCGGCGGTGATGTTGCCTTTAGTGATAGCATGACGTCAGATTCGGCGGCCATGTTGCCTCTAGTAATAACGTCATATCATAATGACGTCAGAGTCAGCGGCCATGTTGCCTTCAGTGATGACGTCAGAATCGGCTGCCTCCAGTGACGTCAGAGTCGGCTGCCTCCAGTGATGACGTCATAGCTTGACGTCAGAGTCGGAGGCCATGCTGCCTCAGTGATGTCATAGCGTGACGTCGGCGTCGCGGGAAAATCCATTTTGAGCTCTGGGTGGTCCTGGCCAGTCGTTCCTTCATTATCATCAGACTTATTCAGAGTTTGACCATGTTCTGTGACCATTTTGCTCTTATAAGAGATATTTCATGGTTCCTGGAGCAGCGATGTGTTATAAGGAAAGTTAAGGTGAGTGAGGATGATCAATAGTCTTGAACCTTGATCATGGCCTCGTTCATGACCTTGGTCATGACGGTGACCTTGCCAGGCACACCCACGCCCAGACTAACCCATTATTACACCCACACTCCACACCCACTCTTACTCCCAGGGAAGGAAGGAAAGTAGAAAAGAGAAGAGGGTAGTTAGGGAGGAGAAGAGGGTAGTTAGGGAGAGGAAGAGGGTAGTTAGGAAGGGGGAAGAGGGTAGCTAGGGATGGAAATACTACCACCTGTCACTATTAACATTTATAAATACTTAGTATAATAGAATATTGAGAGAAGTACATTGAGGGAGGGAGGTGATCAGTGTAAGATATCTGGACAGATCCGTCACGCTGAGTTATTGGAAAGGTTTGTGAATGGGGGCACGTAATATATTGAGCTCAAAGAATACTTGCTTACACTGTAAGTCTTTGGCTCGCAACACTACTAATACGTGCACTGCAGTCAGTGGTGCACTGCAGTGAATGGAACACAGAACTTACTAGAGCCCTGCCTCACCAACGGAACAGCAGCATTGCCTTGCAGCGTGACTGGTAACTCACAAGTCTTATCTCTACCTTCCTTCTCTTGTGCATATGAAGGTTCCACGCTTACCGAGGTCACATATGCTCGATTGTAACCAGATATAAACATGTAAATAGTTCATTACCAGTGTAACCTGTTCAGCAGTCAAAACTTTGCTGCCCAGTTCCTGGACCATTATATGCCTCTGTAATCTTTTGACTACCGCCCACAGGCTGGGTGTATATTAGATATATTAAACTAAGAGGTGAAAATGCCGTCTCATAATACAAGGGAACTTTTCACACAAAGATAACTTGGACAACAACACACAAGAGGGAAAGGTAGTTAGGGAAAGAGGGAGGGTAGTTTAGGAGAGATGGAGGGTAGTTAGGGATAGTAGGAGAGTAGATTGAGAGGGAGGGGTGATTAGGAAGGGAAGGACTATATATTAAGAAGGATGATGTGTATATATATATATATATATATATATATATATATATATATATATATATATATATATATATATATATATATATATATATATATGTTGTAGTTGAATTGTTCAGAGAACCGACACATTGATAAATTAGACACATGTGCAACTCTTGGGTATCTTTATTGAGGAAACGTTTCGCCACACAGTAGCTTTATCAGTCCATACAAAGGAGAAACTTAAAGAACAGGAGGAAATGAGGTAATCAGTCCCTCAACCTTGAGTCGATGTGGTCAGTCAATCAATCTATTCAAGATTGATGGACTGACCATATAGTATATATATATATATTATTTATTTTTATTTTATTATCACACTGGCCGATTCCCACCAAGGCAGGGTGGCCCGAAAAAGAAAAACTTTCACCATCATTCACTCCATCACTGTCTTGCCAGAAGGGTGCTTTACACTACAGTTTTTAAACTGCAACATTAACACCCCTCCTTCAGAGTGCAGGCACTGTACTTCCCATCTCCAGGACTCAAGTCCGGCCTGCCGGTTTCCCTGAACCCCTTCATAAATGTTACTTTGCTCACACTCCAACAGCACATCAAGTATTAAAAACCATTTGTCTCCACTCCTATCAAACACGCTCACGCATGCCTGCTGGAAGTCCAAGCCCCTCGCACACAAAACCTCCTTTACCCCCTCCCTCCAACCTTTCCTAGGCCGACCCCTACCCCGCCTTCCTTCCACTACAGACTGATACACTCTTGAAGTTATTCTGTTTCGCTCCATTCTCTCCACATGTCCGAACCACCTCAACAACCCTTCCTCAGCCCTCTGGACAACAGTTTTGGTAATCCCGCACCTCCTCCTAACTTCCAAACTACGAATTCTCTGCATTATATTCACACCACACATTGCTCTCAGACATGACATCTCCACTGCCTCCAGCCTTCTCCTCGCTGCAACATTCATCACCCATGCTTCACACCCATATAAGAGCGTTGGTAAAACTATACTCTCATACATTCCCCTCTTTGCCTCCAAGGACAAAGTTCTTTGTCTCCACAGACTCCTAAGTGCACCACTCACCCTTTTCCCCTCATCAATTCTATGATTCACCTCATCTTTCATAGACCCATCCGCTGACACGTCCACTCCCAAATATCTGAATACATTCTCCTCCTCCATACTCTCTCCCTCCAATCTGATATCCAATCTTTCATCACCTAATCTTTTTGTTATCCTCATAACCTTACTCTTTCCTGTATTCACTTTCAATTTTCTTTTGCACACCCTACCAAATATATATATATATATATATATATAAAATATATATATATATATATATATATATATATATATATATATATATATATTTAATATATATATATATATATATATATATATATAATATATATATTATATATATATATATTTGGACAGACTGGGAGCCAGAGTCAGGTGGCACTGTTGGAGAGGCGAGAGCCTGAGTCAGGTGGCACTGTTGGAGAGGCGAAAGCCTGAGTCAGGTGGCACTGTTGGAGAGGCGAGAGCCTGAGTCAGGTGGCACTGTTGGAGAGGCGAGAGCCTGAGTCAGGTGGCACTGTTGGAGAGGCGAGAGCCTGAGTCAGGTGGCACTGTTGGAGAGGCGAGAGCCTGAGTCAGGTGGCACTGTTGGAGAGGCGAGAGCCTGAGTCAGGTGGCACTGTTGGAGAGGCGAGAGCCTGAGTCAGGTGGCACTGTTGGAGAGGCGAGAGCCTGAGTCAGGTGGCACTGTTGGAGAGGCGAGAGCCTGAGTCAGGTGGCACTGTTGGAGAGGCGAGAGCCTGAGTCAGGTGGCACTGTTGGAGAGGCGAGAGCCTGAGTCAGATGGCACTGTTGGAGAGGCGAGAGCCTGAGTCAGGTGGCACTGTTGGAGAGGCGAGAGCCTGAGTCAGGTGGCACTGTTGGAGAGGCGATAGCCTGAGTCAGGTGGCACTGTTGGAGAGGCGAGAGCCTGAGTCAGGTGGCACTGTTGGAAATTAAAGAATCAACTGAGCCACAAAGACGTTAGAATAGCTCTTTACTCATACGTAACTTCTCTCAGAGGAGCTGCATGAAACAGCTTCCATACACAGTTTCAAGAACATGTACGACGGGAACTGCTAAACCTGTAGGTTTCATACAGACTTGCTGACGTGGCGAGAGATCTCGTGATCTAGTGAGAGTGACCTCTGACCTCGATGCTGCGTCCTGCTCTTACCACCCTTGACCGTGATCTTGACGCGAGACCAACTAACCAAGGTAGACATGAAAGGCTAACTGGAATTAAGCAATCAGGTGAGAGTGACCTATGCTTATTTTATATTATATATATATATATATATATATATATATATATATATATATATATATATTATATATATATATATATATATATATATATATATATATGTCGTGCCGAATAGGCAGAACTTGCGATCTTGGCTTAAATAGCAACGCTCATCTTGCCATATAGGACAAGTGAAAATTTGTGTATGCAATAATTTCGCAAAAATCATTCTGAACCTAACGAAAAAAATATATTTCACTGCGTTTGTTTAGTATTAAATTACTGTAAATTTATATAAAATATATTTAGCTGGATTAGGCTAAAATAAATTGTTCTTGTTATAATAAGGTTAGGTAAGTTTTCTAAGATTCTTTTGTTGCAAAATTATAAATTTTTACATTAACATTAATGAAAAAAATATATCTTTAAACGTATAAGAGAAAATTTTAGAAAGGACTTAAT